TCGTCGAGAAACGACTGCGAACTGAGGAAGATTGCTCCTTGGCGGTACCTCCCGCTAAGCGCCCACGGGCAAGCTCAACGAATGAGCCTCCTGTCACTTCTGCACCGACCACGGCATCTCCAGCCGCTTCGGCAAAACCCTCTGCTCAGAAGAGCAATCCACTCCACCCGACACCCAAGAAAGACATAAGATCCATGAACATGCTACGCACTCAATCTTCAGAAAGCAACGAAGCAACTCCGGGTCGTTCCGGCGCAACTCCCGCCGGCTCCAAAGCGGAGCTCAAGGCCGGGCCCACATCCGCACCCCTGAACAACAAGAAGCAAATCGACATTTCCTTGCTTGGGCAAACATCGGCGAAGTTGAACCAGACAGGTCGCGCTCTGAAACACGAGGCAACCAAAATATTAAACACTGCGAGCAGCAAAAAGGACGAAAAGCGAGCTGCCGTCACCAACCTGGAGTGCATCTTGTAAGTTCATCTCTATTACCGATCTTGGCTAGACTGACCAATTAGGGCATACATGGCCGCATATTTTGCTCAAGATCTGTCGCTAAACCTCCGCGGTCGTGCCGGCGAGGTTGAGCAGACATGGAAGACCCTGCTACCGCTCTGTCTGTCGTATTCCAGATGCACGAGAGACTTTCAACACCTCGACGGACTCCGCTCCTACCTCAGCTCTGTCATCGCCTCTGCAATCTGCACCCATGTGTCACAACGCTTCAGTAGCTCCAAATCTCACGACTCGCCACAGGATATCAACCACCCAGAATCTGCTCGACAGCATATTGAAAACTTTGCCCTTCTCTCCGATCACACATTGAAGATGAATCGCCACTATCAAGAAGCAAGAATTGCTCTGCCTTTCGAGGACCTGCAAAACATCTACAAGAAGACGTATGCGGGTCGAGAAGTTAACGCCAAACTTGCACGTGAGCCAGAAAAGGTGAGCGGCGCCAAAATGTCTGGTCCGTATTTTCTCCCGCTCGGAATAGATACAACACCCATCCAAGCTGTCCGGTTTGGTCTGAAGTTCCTGCACGAGTATTGCGAGAAGGAAAAACTCGAGTACAGTCTCAGGGTCAACCTTGATAGGCCAGAGTGAGATGGTGGTCGATGTATTGATTAAAGAGTATTACGAAACGATTTATTGCCCGAGCAGTCTCCAAAGCCGCCTCACCTTACAAGGACGAGTAAACGAATATCCAGAAATCCATGCAGGAATCTCGTCAGACACATCATCTTTAACTTAAACTTTACATTTGCGTCCTCCCCATCAATTCCAGCTACGACGTGTTAACGACCGGTTTACCCACTGTTCCTCGAGTAACCCACCCCCCCTCGAAAACATCCATCCCACCACCAAAATTTTCCTTAATCCTGGGTCGGCATTCTGCTTCCAAATCGCCCAAATATTGCTTCCAGCGGGATCTGGCCTTCTTTCTCTGGGCTTTTTTTTCCAGTTGTTTTATGCGAACTTGACAGTACACACATACGTACCAAGCCTCAATCACTCTGATACCCCCTTGTTTTTCAAGGCGCGCGCGTTCGGATTAGACATGCTCTTCTTTTGTTTTTTTAAACTCACTCCAACATACAACTGCATGGTTTGAAGGTGTCATCTCTTCTTATCTTTTTCTTTTCCTCTTCTTTGCTGGTTTCGGATCTTGATCTCTCTCTCTTTTTTGCTTTGGTTCGGCGCGGATTATCAACAATGGAGGCAATTTCCATAGTTAATGAGTGTGGCGGGAAACTTTCTTTTTTTTGATCGTTTGCTGATTTGGAGGGAGTTTTTTTTTTGGGACTCTTACTACGAGAGATTGTGTAGGTTTGTCATGATTTAGCGCGGCGTGTGGAGAGAACTGGGTTTTTTTCGGGTTCTTTTTTTTTGTGTCTTGATAAGAGTCTCTGAAGATGCGATACCGAAGGGCGGCGTGTATGGGGGGGACCTAACGATTATCCTGATACGTTGCAAAAAAAAAAAGTTCAAATTGAAGATTGAAAGTTTAGTTATGGGAACTTGTGGTGATGCAGTAGGAAAAAAAATCCGATGTGCTATTCTCTTCTCCATGATGCAAATTTAGGAAATCGATGCTACACTCTCTGACAAGATGGATTTCATACCATCTCACACGCAATACAAACTGCCTCAGAATTGTCCACATTACTTCACCAACCTATCCCACATACACAACACCACCACTACCCAACCCCCCATCCTCCCCACTTTCCCATCTTCACCGCCTTACTTCCAACGCCCCCCCTCCCCCTTCGTCCTGCATCTTACTCACCTTTTCGTATTCAGAAAATCGAGCAAAACACCTCTTTCTTCCTCTTCTTCTTTCCTATATTTTCCTCCGCTTGAATGGGGGAAAGATATTTACAATCTTAATGACATACGGAATACTGTACGTGTATGGGTGGAAAAAGTTGGGTAGGATAGTGGGATAACGGGGTTATGATTGAAGGAGATGGTGAGGGGAGATGGGGTGGGAGTGCGTATGGCGGATGGGAAGAGTAGGATTGTCGTGGCAGCGGGGGAAAAGTGAGTCTAGGTTGTATGGGGATCTGAAGGAGATGTTAGATGTAGGATTGAATAGGATGGTAAGTGCACTGCAGTTACATGGAGAATATGCTTAAATCTTAATCGCTTTCCATTTCTTGCCTAATCATAACTCATAACTACCCGAACTCGCCAATTGTTGCAAAAGTCACATGTTGTCATCCCTACCCCCACCCATCATATACACACAAACCCAATCCGAAAAAAAAAACACAGAGATCCCATAATATATACCTTTGATAACCACAGACACAAACTATATACCCTCGTTTCCCCCCAAAACCCAAATCTCTCACATGATTCAAGCTCTCGCCTTCTTCCCCATCAACGGCATCTGCGACCCCTCCTTGACCTGCACCCTGGGCCCCAAGAACTCGCTCGCCTCGGAGCGTCCCGGCAACTCACCAATCTTGTTCCACATGAGCTGCAGCTGCACATGGCCGGGCGTGATACCCATCTGCTGGGAGCCCCAGCGGTACTGCCACAGCGGGAGCTTCTCATGGGGGTTCGGCGTGTGCTTGGCGTCGTAGAAGCAAGCTACGTCGCCGAAGCAGAGGAAGACGTATTCGAAGCCGTTCTAAATTTCCCTCGCCTAGTTAGCCAAAGAAAGAAACTAATTGCGGGATAGGTAGGTAGGTAAGGGTTGAGGAAGGGGGGACACGCACGATTGTGTAGAGTTGATCGTAGATGTCTGCGACACGCTCACCGCAACTCCATGCTGAATCTGTCTTTCCGTAGTAACTGTCCGTGTTCTTTTCTTGCTTGTCGTCTTCGAAGGTGCAGTTTCCCTTTGACGTGCTAAGCGTGTAGGGGAAGTCTTCTAGGCGGGAGAAGACGCCGCATTTGTTGAAGGGGCTCTTTTCCGATATAAACTTGCCGTTTGTGTCGAGGCAGCCGACGGTTGCCTTTGGTGTTGCCGTCTGCCAATTGTCCGATTTGAGCACGTAAATGTGGCCGATGCCGCTGAAGTCTGATTGCTGGATGCCTGCAAACGCAGGTGTCACTATGGATGCGACGAGGAGGAAGAGCGTGGTAGGGAGATGCGCCAACATCTTGAAACAAGAATGCTGTCCGTTGTATGTTGTACACCGAAGTCAGGTGACGACGAGTTTGGGAAAAGTAGGTAGGTAAGTAGGTCCAATGTTCAACACTACGTCTGTTAGTCTAGAACCGGACCCAAAAAGCTTCTTATAAGCCTGCTCTGGCCCCGTCACACAGGTTATTATTTCACTCACCCCAACGTTATTACCACCAACGCAAACGCGGAAAACAAGGATCGAAAATATTCCGCCCGCTTGGGCCTTCCTTCCAAGGCCAAACAAACCAACACCCCCCTCCTTCTTCACTTAATAACAAACTGCAAAACAAGAAAGGGATCCCTAGTGAAAGTGAAAACGGTCCCCACACCTTGCTTTGGGCACCCTTTGATATTACCGAAACAAGACGAAGTGTCTGCCTGCACGATAAATTAGGTACCCCAGAAGACGCAATTTCGGGTCCCCTCCTCGTGACGGCGGAAAACCCGCTTTCCGTTTTCAGCGTTAATCCCAGTTTCTCACTAGACTCCCCCCCTCCACCCCCCCGCTTTTTTTTTCGCAACCACACACAAGACACGTACTTTGTTCGCTCACTGCTCGCTCCCACCAACAGGCAAGAGTGCGTGACCTTGATGTTTTAATATCGGGCCCGTTTTCTTTTGAAGCGGATTGTTCCGTGAACGGTGTGAAACGACAAGAAAAGAAGATGATAGTAGTAGTGCGCACAAGAGCCGAGGAGCGCGTGATATGCAAGTTTGCAGTTGTTACTTTACGAGGTAGCGCCACGAGTGGGTAGATGGGGAAACATGGCGAATCAGTGGTAGTGGGGCAGATATTAACAAGGGAGAGAGATAGAGAGAGGAGGAGGGGAAAGGAGCCGAGTGGCTTGGGAGACAAGAAAGAGCTCGGGTTTTTTGTTTCTGTTTTATCCTGTTTGTTTGCCGAAGATGTGTAAGTGATCTGTCAGCGGAAAGGTGGGCGATACAGAAGGAAGGGGAGGGGAAAGCTGAGGTTCGGACATCGCAATCGGGGGGCTAACTACTACTAGCTGGGAAATTGTGGGGATGGTGGCGCGGTGTTGTAGGCCTGGGTGTTACGTCGTGTCAGCCGCATGGAGAACGAGGAACTTTTTTTTGTTTACACATGTTGTGTTCTGAAACTTGAGACGTTGAGGTCAAGTCGTACAGTGGTGTTAACCTATGCTCTGGGGAAAGTGGGGTTTGCATTGTTTACTAGTATATGGTGATGTAGGAAACCGAAGAAAGTTGCGGACATGAGGGTTGTACATCAGCACTGTTAGGCAACCAGTCAGCTTCCGACGTCTACGATGGACCCCTACGTACTCATATCTTACTATCTGTCTATCCCAGCCCATGTCCGTCTCATGTACGCATCACAACATGCACTTTCAAAGCCATCTCCGCAACCCTAGCTAACCCCCGTTGATCTCCCGTCGTGTACCCGCCAGCCCGCCAGCCCGCCAGCCCGACCTACCGAAACCAGGCAAGCGCTTCCGAACACCTTATGTAGTACACGTCTTATCTAACAAGTCTAGAGCACCATGGGCCGTTTAACTAGGTACGGCAGAAGCCTTGCGGACTTCCTCAATGGCATCATCCCGGCTGCCATCCTTGGGTTCATCTGTCAATTCTACACAGAAAATAATACTCCAGTACCATCGCTCCATTATCTACATTTTCCTACTGCAACGGGACAACTAAAGCCTACATGGGAAAACCCTGGAGGCGATAAACACGCTCTTATTCGCGCCGCACTATATCCCGACGAGACTGTGGCTATATCTCCATTCGCCGCCGTGCAACCATCACACGTGTCAGTTACGATGATATGTGTCGCCGCCACCGCCGCCACCACGGCCATGGTACATGGACATGAAACGTTTTTGCCAGCCAATAGGCCTTCTCTCCCACACTTTCTGCTTTCCAAGGCGCTCTCAACAAGACGTCGACACGTCACCTTTTCTGCGTCTTCCGACGGAGCTGAGGAGTATGATATATGACTATGCAAGCAGCAGCGGCAGATACGAAACAAGGTACATGATCAATTCGTGTTGGCCTCGGACGATATTTCTTTTGACGCTGATGAAATGCGCAAAAAGTTTCGAAGATATCGCCATCTATCGTCCTCGGAAGAAGCAGAGCGAAGATGCTGTTTCCTACGTACTCCGAGATGATGCTATAATTGCTATACATGGAGCTTGTCCGTCGATAAGCGTGCTCTTGGTTTGTAACAAGGTATATCAGGAAGCGCGTGAGCAGTTCTTGTCAACGACGGCATTCGAGTTGCATCCGTTGAGAGTGACGGCTCCTGGATGTATGAATACAACACCTTTATACTGGAGCATCCAGCGAATGAGTGTCTAGAGAAATCAGCACGTGTGCGGATGATGAGGAAGACACGGTTGCGTGTCGATATAGCGAAGTTTAGCTGCTATCGACAGAGGCAACCGCGTGGGCCACGTGCCCGCATGTTGACTGTGTGTGCATATGATGAGATTGACTTGAAGGCTGGTACAGAGATGCTTTGGACGAGTTCGAGAAGATTGTTCGAGATTTTTAAGACAGCTGCGCCTAATTCGAGGGTCGTGAATGTGCATTGGGTCGATGACTTTCCGCATGCGGTTAGCGGGCGTGATATGGACATGAGGGCTAGCGTCCTGCGACCATTTTCTGAACTCGATGGTGTGATGTTGCGTGCGAAAAAGCTAGTCATCGTGGGGAATGAAAGAAAAGAGGTTCTTGGGATGTTTAAAGGCATACTTTTGTAATCTGCATAGTAAAGAAAGCTAATTGAGGGAATTACTTTGGAAAAGTAAATTTGGAAAATGTTGATATTTCAAAACTATGCACAAATTGAATGACTCCTAATACCTAGGAAAATAAAGCCATGACCTGCCAAACTCCATGGATAGAATCTCAACACCGCTACCTTTCTACAAACTTGAGACAGTTGCCCGCAATTTCCCACAAAATCATGGAAGAGCAGCAACTGCAACGGTCCAATAGCCCGGTAACATGTGACGCCACTCGATCGCATTCCATTTAGCTACCTGGACAACCGTAAAGGCGACAAAGGAGAAGACGATCTTACTCGGGCGTTGCGAAGTCATTCGTATGCGTACAATCGAGGCACATGCCCTTGACATCGGCATACATCCGGTCGAGCGTACGAATGGCCTTGTCATTCAGAGAGATAGCCGACTTACAGTTGCAATTGGCATTTTTGCAAATTTTGGTCAGGGTCTCGGTAGTAGGGGTACCAACCTGCACCAGTTGATCCCTGATTTTCTTAATGGATTGCTGTTCAAGAGGCCACATTCCTCCGGATACGAGCGTATGGAATATAGTGCCAACACGCAACTTGAATGCGTTGCACACGTCCTTTTCATCGATAATAGTGTCGAGTGCTTCCTCCACTTGCTTCTGGCACAGCATCTGAGCAGCTTTTACTTCCTGGAACAGGACTACCGGTAGTCTTTCGTGACCTTGCATAGCAGTGGCGATGTCCATGATAGTTGAACGATCTCAAATTATGCTTCGTGTGACTTTGTTGAAAGATTGGGGCAGATCGAGGAAGTATGTCGCAAGGATCAATTTCTCGAACTCCGCATCCTCTGGATTCTGCAAAAGCAAGGTAAACCAAATCAAAGACTGCGTTTGGATAGCTTCCGTGCACCCGTACTTGTGGCAAACGTATGCGAAATTGGCGAACTCGGTGATTTTCAGCTTGTCTGGCAGCTGGAATGTTTTGAAATGGGTGATCAGGCATAGCAGAAAAAATCGATTTCGGATCATCGCCAGAAAGTGGAACAGTAGGCGGTGAACTTGTCGGCAAAGGGTGACCCGCATAGGAGTTACGGCAAAACATGATAGAAAATAACGGCGAGGCATGGCTGAGGACCACAGACGAGACCAAAAGCCTGCGTGTTCCCTGTCCAGATGTTTCGATAGGCTCAAGGATGACGTCTCCTCGAGCACTTGTGACTTCTGGGCGTCCTCCTGTAGACTTGTCAGTGGATTCTGTCGGGCTGTCGGAAATTGTAAATTCCGCTGGAGTATCGAGAACTGTAGATTCTGCTGGAATTTCAGGAACCGTAAATTCTGCTGGATTGTCAAGAACCGTACGGTCAACCCGTTTCCGGGATGGACATGTATCGTCGTTCTTACGCTTCTGTGGAGCATTCATGGTGCTGCTGCAGAGTTTGTAACTGGTGGGTTGTGGTTGCCCAAGCTGTAACCATGTTACAAGAGAAGCATTGATATGTTTGAGGACTTGTAAACATTGTGAATGATCACAAACCACTGTAATCTTGACTATCAGTTGGGTTCCATTAGACTTTACCTCAAAGTCTCCCTTTCCTGGACAATCAAAATCTTCTTGTATGTGGTGTTTGTTCCAATAACCATATCAGGCTCTTTTACAATTATGCATGGATCGGTTATAAATTCTCCTCAAGTTGTTGCACTATACGGAGATGATAGTATTTTGGTTGTGGAGTCAGCGGAAAACTGGTGGCCTAGAGCGCAGAGTAGAGGCCATGTGGTCGACTTTGCGCAGTTCAGGTACATGAAAGGGGGCAGTCATTCTTGAAAAATCAACAGACATGGAGCGTGCCCAGGATGCTCAGCGGTGAGCTCGTCATGGAGACCAGTGCAGGGCCGCGAATGGCTGGCAGGAGACAATGCTCGAACCATGTGTCCACAGTGGATATTGTGAAGCGATTTGCCACTTTGCGGGTGAGTGCCATTCGACTTGAGGAAGGTACGAAACACCACATAAACGAAGACACGACCGAAGGACGAGGCGTGGGAGAGGCAGGACTTTCCATTGCAGCCCAAGAACGGGATATGTGCACCTTGTAATGCTCCTGTAAGCTGAAGACTAGCAAGCTGCGGGATCAGTCTACTGAATCGGGAGAAGCAATGCGTAGCGTCAGCTGGCGATGTGGGTTTAGCACGAATTGCCGGTTGCTGGATTTAGGAGGGGCAGGCAAAGTGGTGTCGGCGCCGTGTTTCGGCCGAAAGATAAGAAGCATCTCCGGGCGCTGAGCACCGAAACTCGGAGGGAACGAGGTAAACACCGACCGTCGTCCTACTTTGCTGCGAGCTTCGTTCGGCTTTTGGCGGCGACAACTCGCAGCCGCAGAAAGGCGAGACTCGACCGCGAGGGGTAGCCCCATTTGCGTCTGCCGCGGGACGGCATTTTGGGTTTCGGTCGTCTGGATCGGCTTGGCCGCGACATCACACTCGATATGGAGTTGGGTGTGCCAGCACTGCGCCTATTCCACACTTACACCCCCACTACACGTCGTGTCCACGGAGCTCAGGATAACCACTCGTGGCGCCAGTCACAACGGCCATGGTATACTGGACGCAATTATTTCCCTTGTACACACGTAGACACCAGTACCCAGCTCAATGACCAGGGGACCAGCCCACTGTGTATGCAGCCAAACACACAGCTTACTTGCATTGGAGGGGTAACTGCATACATGGATAGCCCCACAACCCCTCGATCAAGGCCTTGGAGGCTGACGAGACGGAGCACTAGCGTACGCGCGTGTAAGATGCCTTAGGTCCAAGACGAGGCTCGATTTACGCACCTGCACATGCGTGCCATCGACGTCGGGCAGCTGCTCCGGCAACGGAGCAATTGCATTGGCCCACTTGGTCCCATTGACTACTATGCATGCTACCCGTCTCTCGCGCGAGGCTTCACGATGCCAGAATAGGGAATCAACTGCTAGTGCCCGGCCCTGGCGCATCTTCGACCTGGTTCGCGCCATTGGATGCGACCCCGCACCCGGCGCAATGCGAAGTAATTGCCAAACACGACCGTCGTACCCGCAGGCGCTGCTCCTGGCCCAGCCTCTCTTTGCGCGCACCGTGTCGCATTGAACCAAGTGGGGGAAAGGGCCAGCTGAGTTCAGACTCGGGGCCCACGACCCAAAGAGCGAAAGCCAACAACACGCGTGGTGGGGACGAGCGGAGGATATATAATGAGCCCCCTCACGACCCCTCAATTGCTTCCTCATCACATCAACCTCGTTTTGTACATAGATCTCACGATCAATCGTCTTCCGTATCTTCCGTATTGCCAGAGACGTCACTCGGGCACGCAAGAGGTATTGCGACCCACGCACCCCCTCTTTTTGTCCTGCTCCTTGTAGCAGAACCGCATGTGGCTTACTGATGTTGCGTCAGGAACACGTACCTTGACCTATTCCGCCTAGGATTTTACTATATATCTTCACTTGGGAACCTCGAGTCTTTGCATCTCACAAGCCCAACAATTCAAAATGGTATTTGCCCGTGCTGCCTCGCGTCTTGCCCGCCCTGCCTCGTCCCTCCTCAGCGCTCGCGCCGGACCCCGATTGACTTCGTCGCTGCGACAACCCAATGCTTTCAGAACGCTGACCGCGACCGCTTCACAACAGGGAAAAGTTCTTCTCGTCCTTTACGATGTAAGGTTTTGCCAATTGGAACCCCTTTTTGGTGCTCGGTCTAACAGTGACGGTAGGGTGGCATCCACGCCGAGCAGGAGCCCCAGCTTCTCGGTACCACTGAGAACGAGCTGGGCATCAGGAAATGGATTGAGGAGCAAGGCCACGAGCTGGTAACCACATCCAACAAGGAGGGCGAGGACTCCGAGTTCGACAAGCACCTTGTGGATGCAGAGGTTATCATTACCACTCCGTACGTCAGAGCTACCCCGCAGTGCCCGCTAGGGCGGCCCCACCAGCACGCGTCAAGCTCGCTGTCGCCATGCACTAGTAATGCAAACACCATGATGTGAGGGAACGTTTCGGCTAATTGCTCGGGGATCAACAGTTTCCACCCCGGTTACCTTACCGCAGAGCGTCTCGCCAAGGCCAAGAACCTGAAGCTTGCCGTTACTGCTGGTATCGGATCTGACCACGTCGACCTCAACGCTGCGAACAAGACAAATGGCGGTATCACCGTCGCCGAGGTTACTGGCTCCAACGTCGTCTCGGTCGCCGAGCACGTTGTCATGACCATCCTGGCTCTCGTCCGCAACTTTGTCCCCGCCCACGAGCAGATTGCCAAGGGTGAATGGAACGTTGCTGAGGTCGCTAAGAACGAGTACGACCTCGAGGGCAAGGTTGTCGGAACCGTTGCTGTCGGACGTATCGGAGAGCGTGTGCTCCGCCGTCTCAAGCCTTTCGACTGCAAGGAGCTGCTGTACTTTGACTATCAGCCTCTGTCTGCCGAGAAGGAGAAGGAGATTGGCTGCCGCCGTGTTGAGAACCTCGAGGAGATGCTGGCTCAGTGCGACGTTGTCACCATCAACTGCCCGCTGCACGAGAAGACACGGGGTCTCTTCAACAAGGAGCTCATTTCCAAGATGAAGAAGGGCTCATGGCTGGTCAACACTGCCCGTGGTGCTATTGTTGTCAAGGAGGATGTCGCACAGGCTCTCAAGGACGGCCACCTCCGTGGATACGGTGGTGATGTCTGGTTCCCTCAGCCCGCCCCCAAGGACCACCCACTCCGCTATGCCACCAACCCATGGGGCGGCGGCAACGCCATGGTTCCCCACATGTCCGGTACCTCGATCGACGCACAGAAGGTAAGATTACGATTGAGAGATAGAGTTCCAGCAAGGATGAGACTGATGATGACTGCAGCGCTACGCCGACGGCACCAAGGCCATCCTGGACGAGTACTTCTCCGGCCGCCACAACTACCGGCCCGAGGACCTTATCGTACACAAGGGCGAGTATGCGACCAAGGCGTACGGTCAGCGCAAGTAAACGGGCCACATTGGCATGTTCGGCAGGCTAGCGACCATTTTGAGCGATTTGGGACGAATTTCCTTTTAGTTATCAGGGCGTTGGATGCAATGACCCGCCCACCCATGTATATGAATATATTCACTGAAAGTCTATGCATATTTCCCGACAAGTGATGTCTAAGCGGATGTGTATGGTTTGTGCAAACTTGGCCTTTTTTTTGTAAAGCCTTTTAACATGGGCATGAGTTGGTGTTTGTGTTTGCTAGGAAAACGGGACGAGGCCAAGGAAAGGGAAATCAGATTATAGGTGAAAGCAAAGTGAAGAAGAAGGTGTGTCTTTTGTGAGATTTGGCAGTAGAAGCAGTGGTGTCATGGGTGGTCGCGTGAGCGAGAAGGGCGGGTGTCGGCATCGCTCTCATCCTCGCTGTCGTCCTTGAAGCCTTCCTCAAGGTCCCTGCCAAGACGAATCTCGTCGTCCATGATGCTTCGGCGCTGCTCGAGGGCCTCTCTCCTCCTGTCGTCAATGGGGTCGAAGCCGACCATGCCCTCGCCCTCTTCGTCGTCAAAGAGCTCGTCGTCGTTCTGGCTGTTTCCGTGGACGAGGCCGCGCTGTCTCACCCAGGTCGAAGGCGCAAACAGGCCATAGAGGGCGTCTGAGAGTTTTGTGCGCCAAGAGGTTGGGAAGTCGGTGACGCCTGGGGTAACGGGCAGGTACTGGCTGTAGCGGCTGCGGTGGCGGCGCACAAAGGGCAGGATGATGAGGGCGAGCAGGACATAGAGGATGGCGGCGAGGAAGAGCGGCACGAGAATGGTCTTTGGGGGGAGGTTGGTGTTGTCAGCCATGGCACGTCTATATGTATATATATATATATATATATATATATATGTACTTATGCAGGGTGCTTGTATGTGTAGCAGTGTAGTAGACTGTCCCACTCACCTTTAAGAAATGCGTCGAGCCCGTCATGACTGCAGAGGCATGTGTGTATGTAGAGAGAGAGGTCTAGTGGGCGAAGACGCGTGCGGGCGACGCGGGACTGCGACTGTCTCTAGGCCGGCCACGGATCCGGGTCGCTGAGACACGAGGGGCCAGAGACGTCAGAGAGGTGTGACAAGCGACAGGCGGCTATGCAGGCGGTGGTTGGGTGGGTGCCTGCTGCGCCACAGCTCACTTTGGACCCGCGCAACGGACAAACGCCTTCTGGGCTTTGGGGGGGCAGGATGGGAGAATGAAGGGTTGCGGATGGGCCTCGGGGGCTCCCTACTTACTTGACTGTGCCTGCAAACTGCGGGCTATGGCGCCACGCCCACACGGACACTGCGCACGTCTCAGGAGAACGTCGGGGCCAGGGCGGGCGGGCCTCAGGCCATGCCGCCCACGCACATACTTACACGGACGAGACAGTTGCGGAGCGGCCCTCTGTGCGCTGTAACCAGGAGTGCGTTTTGGCCCTGGGTCGCGTGTATGGATCTTGTCCTAGCATGTCTGTATACTCACTTGGCTGCATACACACTACGTACACACTACATACACACTACATGCACACAAACATACACAGTACATACATGTAGCATCCCAGCCCAAGCGCCCGTCCTGGGCCTACTCCCGCCCACACATACGCACCGTGGCAGCAACACTGCGACATACGCCCATCCTCTTCGTCTACCCACCCCGGCCCAGTTGGGCGTTGTGGCGCGCTTCTCTCTTCAGGAGGAGGCGCTAGTACTCGGCAACTTCCCGCGACTGACCTGCAGCCGCATTGCCCACCACAGAGACCCCCTCCCCCCCCTCCCCTCAAAGGGATTCCCTATTACTTCAACGCCCCAAAAGCAAAAGCCCCGCAGCCTCGCTGGACTCGTACGCTCAACCGCAGTCACGGCCTGCCATCGCTTGCCCCGTGTCGCCAGAGTTCGCGAGTGGCGGTAGTGCACCTGCACCGAGGGGAACGGAGCACTCGCCGGGCGGCGCGCTCCAGGTCGGCTGCATTGGGCACAGAATCTCGCTATAGGGATGGATGGCAAGGGTCGGCAATCTTCCGCCGGCAAGTTCTTCGGACGCCGTCTGCACAAGGACAAGGAGAAGGGCGGCAGCGATTCAAAGCATACTGCCTCGTCTTCGATCGACAGCCCCCCGGGCAGTTCATACGGCTCCCAGTCGTCCCGCCACTCGCAAAGACATTCCATCGGCGGCGCGTCCATAGACCAGAGGCCCGTGTCCATGACCGCGGAGGGCATCTTTGCGCGAGCAGGCCCCGTGTCATCCATTGACTCGCCCCGAGACGACAACTTCAAGTCGGGCGAACCGCTGCCACACCACCTGAACAAGGGCGGCGGCGACTTCCACCAGTACCCCGTCTTCACCGGCACCAACATGCCTCCCAACGGCTACCCAAACCAGGGCCCGCCTAGGCCCCCGCCGCACTCGTCGCACACCACCATTGCCTCGAGCAACCCGGGCGACCGTGGCGTCTCGATGCAGCAATGGGGCGCTCGCGGCAGCAGCAGAGACGGCTCCTATCCCCAGTACCCCCAAAACGACGCCAGCTTCTCGCGCACCTCGTCCGACCAGGCCAGCGTCTACAGCAACGACTCCAGGTCGCGTGCTAGCAACACCTTCTACCCCCAAAACTCCTCGCAGTCGACATTTTCGTCCGTAGGCCTTGATCCTGGCAGCCTCCTGCCCACCGCCGCATCCACTCCCCGCGACTCGCACCGTCACTTGCTGCACTACAATGTCTCGTCCCCAACGGCCTCGACGGCCTCGTTTCCCCAAAATACCCTCAGCATACAACGGCCCCCCGACCACATCGTCGAGAAAGAGTTTATGAACCTCATGGTCAAGCGAGGATGGAAGAGTTTACCAGAACAGGCGCGGCGGCAGATGGAGGCATACAAGATTGACAAGAAGTGGACACTTGTGTACCAGGACAAGCTTGCCGAATTCAAACATGAAGAGAAGAAGCGCCAGACGCAGCGGATAACATATGGAGGCGGCGGCGGCGGTGGCGGCGGAGGTATGGTAGGGAACCA